CGACGAGGGAAAGAGATACATTCCCATGCCATTGTCAGAGGTCTACACTCCAACAGTTATGTGGGTGGAGCTTTGGTAGAAATGTACTGTAAATGCAAGGACATAGTAACTGCTGAAATGGCATTTGATGATGTAAGAGAAAGAGATCTTCCAACTTGGAATGCTTTGATATCGGGCTATGCACGCTCCAGTCAAACTGAAAAGATTGGAGAACTTCTCCAGAAAATGGAAACGGATGGTTTTGAACCAAATGTGTATACATGGAATGGTATTATAGCTGGCTATGTGGAAAATAAACAGTATGATTCAGCAATGCAATTGTTCACCGAAATGCAGATTGCAAATTTGAGGCCTGACAGATACACAGTTGGAATAATTTTAGCAGCATGCTCTAAGTTAGCAACAATCCAACGAGGAAAGCAGGTCCATGCATTTTCCATAAGAGCCGGTCACGACTCAGATGTTCACATTGGAGCTGCCCTGGTGGACATGTATGCAAAATGTGGGGATGTCAAGCATTGCTATCGTGTTTATAACAGGATATCAAACCCAAATTTGGTGTCCCACAATGCTTTGCTCTCTGCATATGCCATGCACGGGTACGGGGAAGAAGGAATTTCTCTTTTTCGTGGAATGTTGGCTGGCAATGTAAGACCAGACCAAGTGACTTTTCTAGCAGTTCTTTCTTCATGTGTTCATGCTGGATCATTGGAGATTGGTCATGAATGCTTTGATTTGATGGTGACTTACAATGTGACGCCGACATTGAAGCATTATACATGTATGGTTGACCTCTTGAGTCGTGCAGGCAAGCTCTGCGAAGCATATGAACTTATTAAGAACGTGCCAATGGAAGCTGATGCAGTGACCTGGAATGCTTTGCTTGGGGGTTGTTTTATTCACAGTGAAGTTGACTTGGGTGAAATAGCAGCTGAAAAGCTCATTGAATTAGAGCCGAATAATCCTGGAAACTATGTTATGTTAGCCAACTTGTATGCTTCTGCAGGGAAATGGCATTATCTTACACATACTAGACAATTAATGAAAGATATGGGAATGCAGAAGAGTCCTGGATGCAGTTGGATAGAAGATAGAGATGGGGCTCATGTGTTTGTTGCTAGTGATAAGACTCACAAAAGAACAGACGAGATATATTATATTCTGGACAATTTGACTAATTTGATTAGAATAAAGCATTAGAATCATTTATAACTTGAGCAAATACTTGTTCAATATTGGTAAAATAAAATGCTTTAACGTATTTCAGAAGATGATTTTTAACAGCCAAGAAAGACGAAATTGACCCATCTATCAAGAAAACTCCCTTATTGGACGTTACCATGACGCAAAACACGTAAAGTAAATGGAAGCATCTGCTTGTATATTCTGCTCTTGCAAGACGGATAATATTATATTGAGTTATTGGCAAACAATAAACCTTCTTCATTTTCTACTGATACACTTGAGTCAGATATCCAACATACTTGGAATTATATCTTTTCAAATTATGGCAATGTATCCACGTAATCAACTATAGGAAATTCAGTAGCTTTTTATATAGACATAATAACAAATTTATAAAATTGATCATACAAGTAGCATTGTATGCATACAGCACAACATTAATTTATAAAGTCCATCATATACGGAGTCACAAACTGGGCAAACTTTCAAATTTAAAAGATGGGTTACGAGTTCAGTTACTATTAAGAATATACAATTTTATGAACAAGGAATGAAACGGCTTATCTTTCAACATCACTTCTAGTCACACCACAAGGTAATAACGAAATTGAAGAAACGACAATTTTTTTTATAGATAAGACCCTCCTGTACACATTAAAAGCATGAATGAAGAAACATCAAGACTGAAACGAATGGATTAAGGAGAATCACACGGGAATGCTACCACCAGTTCTCCTTTACAATTTTTGATTTTTCAAGTATGAATTTTCCCTCCTTGTACTTCTGTGATGCTTCATAAGCTCTTTCATATTTCCAACCCAACACTTCACGGCAGTCACCACAATAAACATCAGCAACAGTGTGGAGGCCAGTCATGAGGTGCCTGTCTTCTTTTGGCCCTACTACAATATTCATTGCATGGGAGAACAGAAAACCTCGTCCATATCTTCCCTGCTCATAAAAATTAGTATGAAAGGCATGTCAGCCAAGGATCTGGGAAAAGTTACAATACAACTGAAACCCAAGTTTCATCTACCAAAATCCCATTGTCAAAGAACACATAAAAGCCGGAAAGCACACATATGATACGACAAATTTTACTAATTACAGGACACAATACACTTATTATATAATATATAAAATTAATCTAAAGATAATGTAAAATACTTTTTTTTTGGGTAAACTCAGGATTTCCCAAGCCAAGAATCACTGATAATCTCTCGAGTATTAATATCCATTTAAAGGGATAATCTCTTATAATAAATGTTTTTTCAGACAGAGACATGAGAATCAAACTTCTAACTACATGCTTAATGGATAAGCTTATGTGTCAACCCTCTCACGCAATATTTTAGAATCAAAAGAGAAAAAACATGTTTTAGAAAAGAGTACAAGTCATTATAAATATAATAAAATACAAAAAAAAAATATAATTATTGTGGTATTCTAACCAGTATTAGTATTAATATAAATGTTTAAAAGCTACATGAATAAAAATTATAAAATGCAATTAAAAGTATTTGAAGTGTCATGCAGTATCTGACATGGTTACAGTGCCACAATAACTATTTACAACCCGTTTGGATAAGCTTATTCAGAAGCAATTCCAGGAGAGATAAATAGAAAGAAAAATCAAAATAAATTTCACCATAAGCTAAAACTAACTTAATCATGAATTAAAAATAAGATTTTGGAGAAATTAATAAGAGAGAACTTCTACAAATTAGCTTATATAAGCTAATTTTAGCTTATGAAAAAACTTACTTCATTTTTCCTTCCTATTTTTCTCCCCTAGAATTGCTTCTGGAAAAGTAGCCTTTAGAATGTGTCCTTGATTCTTAGAGATCAAGTCCAAATACAAATAGGAAACACCTGTCAACAAAAGCCTATCTCCCGGTTATTGTTTTCCCACCAGAATCATAATTAGCAAAATATATACTATTACTTGGCCTAATTCCATCATCATAACACAATAGCCGTGACTGTCTCTGTTATTTTTTCCTCATTTGTCTTCAGTATCTGACTGTCTCTGCAATCTGATGGTAAATATATATGTCTTCAGTGTACACAATTTGAATTGCCACAACCACCATCAGTTTCACTCTAACACTTGCAAGATGAACAATCCAGTATTAATGAAACTCACGGATCGGTAGAATAAGGCAATTTCATCTATTGGTCCAAGCAATCATTACATGAATCTTGGTTACATAATAAATTCATCGACAGTGTTACATAGCATGATGAGAAGAAGTCCAACCTTCAACCATAAGGTAAAAAATAAAGAGTTAATTATTTCACAAATTTGAAGACGTGGTCTGCATTTCTTAATTAAGCACTTGTTTCATAAGTCCTTAGTACACGATAGCTTATACTGTAAAGTTAATAAAATTTATTCGTACAAGATAAAATGAACTTATTGTGATAAATTTAAACAAACTTATTAAACTAAGTTAGAAAAGTATCTTATGAAAGTCTTCATAAGCACAAATAAGCTCCTATAAACTCTTCCAAACAACCTTTGAGAAATGTACATGCTTGGGACTGAAAAACAAACTTACCCTGCTTTCCTTCATTTACATAATTTAAACTCTATCCTCCATGCCCCATTAAAAAAACAAACAAAAGGAGAAAACTCCTAGAATTTTAATTTAACCCTTCTTTAGCACAGAAAAACTATAATCATCTACTCACTTTTTCTTCATTTCATTTTCTCTTTTTCTCTCTTTCTCATTTATCACATCATTTATTTTATTTATCACTCTTTCTTTCTACCTTTATCTTTTTTCTTATCTCTCTTTTTTTCCACTCTACTCCACCTAAAATCAGAACTATATATCAAAACAATATAATCGTGATCTTCCCTGTTCAACATCATCTAAATAAAAAAGCAAAATAAACAAAGCACAATACATGAGATTTTTCAAGTAGCAAACTACTCTTAAAAGAAATCATCTGGAAATTTCATCTCATCTGAATATGATAGTAAGAATAAGTAACAATTTCATCAAATGCCCGCAAATTCATAAACACAAAAACCATATTTTAAAATTTTAAAAAAAGGAAAATAAAAACACAACAATAACCAACCTGAAAGGTTTTAGCAATTATATCATCGTGGAGGGACACTTGGTTTCTACAATTACAACAGCAATACAAGCGAGGCCCTGTCATTTCCGCCATTAATTTGCCAACAATTGTAAACTAAACAACTCGCTGCTATGAAAGAAAAAAAAAATGAAACTAAAATCTCAGTTATGCAAGAGTGAGACCAGAGGTTTAGATCTGTCACAACAAAAGAAGAAGAAAAAAACAATGAGATTCCTTTACCTGCAACCAACAAATGATGACACAAAGATCCGCTACAATAAATTAAGATAGAAGTAATCGCGGGTTTTGAGAAGAGGGGAATGAAAAAGAAAAGTCGGGCAAACCAGGGGAATAAAAGCCAACACTATGCATAATAAAATAAGAGTTAATCTTTCGTACATTATCAATATTTTTACACTAATAAATAATTAACATAATATTATTAAAAGATATAACTATAATAATTTATAATATATTATTAAATTAATAACTATAATAATATATAACTATAATATATAACTATAATTTATAATAATATATAATAACTTTCTTTTTTTTTTTAACGGCAAATGTTAATTGTTAATTGTTAGGAAGGGGATTCGAACCCACGTCTTTCTTATCACTCAATCCTATATCCATCTCTTAAACTACTTGGACCACCCTTATCACTCCGATATGTAATGACTATAATAAAAGAGAAAGGTCTTTTTTACATATTTATTTAGACTATTTTATTTTTAAGAGGTGTTTGTTTTAAGTTATTTAATTTAATGCTCAAGAAGAATATTCTTGGGAATAACATTTCTCAGCATTTTTTAAAAATATATTTGGTTAGCAAATAAAATTAGTGGAAATCTTTTTAACATTCTCGAGAATAATTTAAACACGTGTTTGTTTATGATTAGTGGGTAGGTCCGTGCAATGTACGGGTAATAAATCTATTAATATTTAATTTTATTTGAAAAAATATATATTTATATAAATATTAAATAAATTATTTAAATATTTATTGATGTATCTAATATATTATAAATTTATATATAAAATAATTTATAATTATAAAAATCAATATATTAATAATTTAAACTTTTATAAAGTAATAAATTTAATAATTTATAATTTTAATAATTTTAAATTATTAAAACAGTTGTTTTAGGATCTATTGTTATACTAGCCACACAATAATTTTAAATCCTACACTTTTATTTATATTACATTAATCCA